ATGGCTGCTGCTGCCCTGCCCCTCCCACCTGAGGGCATTTTGTGTGTCAGCCTACATTTCCCATGATCCTCCCCTTGCCTACAGTGTGCATGACATGAGCAACTTCCCGCTTCAGCCTACATCTCCATAATTCTCTCCTGCTTACATCATATATCTGGATGTACGATGACCTATCAGATACCCTCTTCCTGCACCATTGGCCACCTCCACCCTATATAGGTTGTAGCCATTTTAACAACAAATGAGTCAGGCTGGGGATTTAGCTCAGTGGCCTAAGCGCCTGCCTTGCAAGCAGGCAGTCGTGAGTTGATCCCCTGTACCGATAAAAAGGAAAAAGACAAAAAAAAAAAAAAAGAATAAACGAGAGTTGAATGGAATCCCGCCTTGTCTCCGTCTCTCTTTTCTCTTGCCCAGCCCTCTACCTCCTTCCCCTCTCCAGGTGAGGCCCATGGACTGATCTACGGGATGGATCAATTGGCGCCCATTGTGGGGCAGACCTGGCACGAGGGATAACGACGCGGGACCGTTCACAGGGGTAAAGCGCCTGCCAGCATGACTGTTTCGGGACTTCGTTGCTGTGATCTGTGCAGACGACCACCTTACATCTCACCTGAATCACGGTAGGTGAATGGGATTAGCATGGGGCAAGCACTTAGCACGAATTGTTCCTGAATGGCCTCAGGGAGGCACTCAAGATTAGAGGGATTAAGGTAAAGACAAAAGATTTGATACAGTACTTTCAGTTTATACATTCAGTGTGTCCATGGTTCCCCCTAGAGGGCACCATTGATTCAAACAGGTGGAAAAGAGTAGGAGATGCTCTTAAAGACTATTATGAGGTTTTTGGCCCAAAAAGATCCCAGTAACCGCCTTTTCATATTGGATTTTAATCTCTGAGCTGCTGGCACAACGTCATGCAGATCCCAAGGTCACGGAGACGCTTGCCCAGGGTGAGGCTGCCTTAGCTGCCTCCTGCAATTGTACTCCGCCACCACCGGACTTATCTAAGGCACCCAGCCCTCCCGGCTCTGTGGTCCTTGATATCCCAGAGCCTTTTCAAGATGGCGACTTGCTGCCACTTCTTTTTTCTGGAGGCCACGAGGGTACTCAAAATGGCGTGCACTGCCCCGGTACTCAAAATGGCGTGTACCACCCTGATACTCAAAATGGTGCCGCCTCCATACTGACTCTGGTGGTGAAAGAAAAAAAAATTGGGGCTGGAGATTTAGCTCAGCAGCATAAGCGCCTGCCCTGCAAGCAGGCAGTCCTGAGTTTAATCCCTGGTACCAATAAAAACAAAAACAAAAACAAAAAATAGCGCTGCCACGCTCCCTCCTCTGTACTGCCCTATCAACCCTGGAAATGGGAGCTTAGCCACTAGAATGACCAAGAGATGGTTTGGACTTGGGTAGGACCAGGAAGTCCATGGTTTGTGCCCACACCCTGTTGGTTCTTTCCAGGGCTCCAGTGTCCCAGACAAAGTCAATTCTACCTTTGTCCCACAGCAACAGGGGGCAGATCATATTGTAATTCCCCGGGAGAATATTTTTGTGCTTGTTGGGACTGCGAAACAGTTGCAACAGGGTGGCAACCCGCCTTCCCTGATAAACACCTTAAACTGATATGGGGACCGCCGGGGTGCAGCCTAGATGACTACCCACTGGCCAATCAAAGACCCTGTCAGGTTCTAAACGTCACTGTCACCATTCCTGAAGACCCTGGCTGGCTGACAGGACACACCTGGGGACTTCAAGTTTATGAGTCAGGCAAAGACAGTGGAAATCTTATTCTCATTAAAAAAGGTTCCCCTACAGATTTCATCCACGTCCATAGGCCCAAATCCTACTCTAAAGCCAAAATATAATCAAATCCAAAATACAGTCAGACCAATACAGATCCTGTTACTGTTGTTCAAAAAACCACAGTAAGTCACCCAACCATAAGTGTTTCTCAAGCCCCCCCACACCAGGCAGATCATATACCTGCCCCTCAATATTCACATTCTAACTTATTCAGTTTGATTAAAGGGGCATACATGGCTTTAAATCATACCCAACCTGATCTCACCCAATCCTGTTGGTTATGCTTGGCTGCTCCTTCCCCATATTATGAAGGAAAGGCCCTCAATTTAAGCTTTAACAGTTCTTCTAGCTCATCTGCCTGTGACTGGGGAAATCACCACAAGCTGACTCTCCCTGATGTCTCAGGTAGAGGGACTTGTCTTGGGGACTCCAGCCGTCCACCAGCACTGGCAGCATGACTCTGTGCCCAGCTTCATTCAGAGTTCAAGCCAAATAATTACCTCATTCCATCCCCAGGAACGTCTTGGGCCTGCAATTTTGGCCTCTCACCCTGTATAGCAACCACTGGTTTTAACAAGTCTACAGATTTTTGTGTTCTTGTACAGGTTCTTCCTCGCATAACATTCCACCCAGGAGACTACTACCTCCAGGCATCGCAGACCAGCTATATGTATAAGAGAGAACCTGCCACGCTCACCTTAGCTGTATTACTAGGGTTAGGAGTCACAACAGGAATAGAAACAGCTCTAGTGTTGGGAAATCAACATCTAGCTCAATTACAGGCAGCAGTAGATCAAGATTTAAAAGAAATAGAAACATCTGTGATGGCTCTACAGGCATCCCTGACATCTCTATCTGAGGTAGTCCTACTGAATAGAAGAGAGCTAGACCTCCTATTTTTAAAGGAGAGTGGCTTATGTGCTGCCCTCAAGGAAGAATGTTGTTTTTATGCTGACCACTCAGGAGTCGTTTAAGAGTCCATGACTAAACTAAGGGAGCGTCTCAAAGAGAGAGAAAAAGAGTGCCTCTGAGAAACCACCTTCTCCTCCATGTGGGGGTCTCTTCCCTTACATTGCCCCCCTCTTGGGACCCCTAGCCACCTTGCTGTTACTGCTTACTGTAGGACCTTGTATTTTTCAGAGGATCATGACACTCATTAATAACAGGATTGACACATTTATGGCAAAGCCCATTCAGGTACATTACCATTGGTTGGAAATGGCAGAACAACAAACTTATCGGGAAAGAACACCCACCAATGGCCCACATGATACTATGGCCCAAATGCCCTGAGGCACTGGACAGGCAGCCAGAGATGGGCAACTAGGACACATATGTTGCACCATCGGCCACCTAAGACAGGCCCAGGACCAACAGCTGTCCTGCAGGCCCACGACGGGTAAGGCTCAATTGGGTTCATATGAGGAGTCCTTGACCCAAGACAGGTGCTGTCCTCCCAGGGCCTGCCATATTCCTAAAAAATATACAATAGGGGAGGAGATGTAGGGAGTGGCTCAGAATGGCTGCTGCTGCCCTGCCCCTCCCACTTGAGGGCATTTTGTGTGTCAGCCTACATTTCCCATGATCTTCCCCTTGCCTACAGTGCGCATGACGTGAGCAACTTCCCGCTTCAGCCTACATCTCCCATAATCCTCTCCTGCTTACATCATATATCTGGATGTGACGATGACCTATCAGATAACACTCCATGCCCTCTTCCTGCGCCATTGGCCCACCTCCACCCTATATAAGTTGTAGCCATTTTAAGAATAAATAAGACTTGAATGGAATCCCGCATTGTCTCCGTCTCTCTTTTCTCTTGCCTGGCCCTTCATCTCTGTTCCCTCTCCAGCCGAGGCCCACGGACTGATCCGTGAGACGGATCACCCAACCAGTGGATTTAGAAAACTGATGACATCTACATGATAAACTGACCATTTCTAAGTGAAGGATTCAGAACACTAAGAACACTTGCAGAGCTGCACAGTACCTTGCCTCCTTCCAAACTGTCCCCTTCGCTCCTAAATAAAACCTCAGCTCACTCGCCAGCAGACGACTACTCCCCAGCCCTGGCAGCCCCAACCTGCCTTCAATTCCAAGGGGCTTTTGAATATGTTAAAAACTGCTTTATGTTTGCCTTTAGAGCCCTGAATGGTGGTACTGGGCCTTATCGCCATGGTCACAATTCACATTACCTCTGGAGATAAATTTGAGCTAGTAGCTCAAATATTGTTCCTCTTATAGCCAGTGCTGTAGAAATGAATTTTAGGTATCCTGGATTAATTACTTCTTGGAGAGTCCTCCCTTCTATACTATTCCATCATTTCCAGGCCCACTGATGGGCAGCTACAGAGTTCCTTTCCAAAATTATGACTCTACCTGCCTGCTTCTAGAGAAGCAGCAACTTGTTCTATGTAATCTGTAGCAGGGCAGGGGCAACTTGTGGCTGGATGGGCCCAGAGCTGTTTTGAGCCATGGACAGGAAACAGGAGCAGGGATGGCGCATGCCTGGCAACAGGCAGCCCAGGGCACTTGATGTTGCTGGGCTTTTGTGCAGTGACTTCCAGTGAGCCCCGGTGAGAAGAAATCAGTGCAGAGTCTGATGGGAGACCCAGGGCTAGGCCCCAGCTCTGCTACCATGTGACTTCAAAGGGCTTTACCTTGTCATGGTAAAATGGTCAAATACTCGACCCAGAGTAGGTGCAAGGCTTCCATGAGACAACTATGATATCTGCATCTGACCCGGACAGTAACAGTATGGAATAAAGCACAGCTAGTATTGATAGGTTCTAGCATGCAGGGGTTTTCATTATTGTAGTGGGCCTGCATCTTTGGAGTCATCAGTCACCTTTGCAGGCTGGTTTTCCACCACCTCCCCAACTTTTTTTTTTCCTCTTTTTTGGTACCAGGGATCAAACTCATGACTTCACGCTTGCCAGGCAGGCAATTACACCGCTGAGCTAAATCCCCAGCCCTCCCCAACTCAATTTTTCATCCTGCTGGAACACTGGATGTCACTTCCCTTCTTCCCCTATGTATCCCAGTCTGCAAGATGCTCTGAAAGTCTTTGGTAAAAGAGTCCGCAGTGACCCACGGTGATTCACAAAACAGGAGACACCAATTTGTCAGAGCAGGTGGCCTTGAGGGACCCAAAGGAGCACTTTCCCTGGTGAGACGGCAGAAACCACAAGACCCGAATGAAGCTGGCAAGAGTCAGTGACTTTTATTTCGCTAATGTCTCCCAGTAAGTGTAAGGATCAAAGGTGGGCTGGGGAAGGGCAGGGAAGAGGAAAGTGCCTTTTGAGTCCTTGAACTATGGAAGCATGTGCTAGAGTAGGAAAGTCCTGTAAAAGCATCGTGTCCTCGTCACCACGGAGTTTATAATGGAGATGCAGGACATGACAGGGCAGCTCTTGAGCTCTGAGGGACTGAGGACGAAGCCTGTTCAAGCCTGGCACGGGGCAGACAGGCAATGTGGATGCCATAGGAGGGCAGATGAGGAGCCGACCGTCCTGCAGGTGGCGGGTACACATGCCTGTTCTGGGGCTCCGCCAGCTGCACAGCAGCAGGGACACTGTAAGGAAAGACTCTTGTAGAAAACAGAAAATCTTATTTCTTGTGTTTGCTGGTGTGTTGATTGACCAGACGTTGTCTAACTTTTGAGCAGCAGCATTGTGTCCTGGTGACACAACAAGTGACACTTAGCACTCTTCACAGGCATAGGAGGCGGAAGTGAGGCCTCTGAAGGCCTGGGTGAGCGGGGGCTGGCGTCTAAGGGTCAGGGCACGGAAAGCTAATCCTACACCACCACACAGGAATGGACACACACAACACCTTGGCCCTCTCCTTTCCTGGAGATACTCACCTCTCCTAACTTACACTACTAGATCTAAGGTACACTTAATCAGTTTGAGATACAAGTTACTGTGCCTCTAAAGTTACGGTGAAAAGCTATATAAAGTTATGGTGAAAAGCTATGTTCTTAATAGTTTTTTTTTTCCCCCCTAACTAATGGATTTGAGTAACTTGAAAGCCTAAAAATCTAGGGATTCTTTTCCTTATTCCATTTGTTAGGGAAAACTCTCAAAATTCATCACTGCCATTTTTGTTTTTGGGGGGGGGTTGTTTTTTGTTTTTGAGACAGCGTCCACAGGCTGGTCTTGAACTCACTTATGGAGCCCAAATTGGCCTCACACTCAGAAGCAATCCCCCTGCCTCAGCCTCCTGAGTGCTGGGATTACAGGCATGCGCCACCACGCCCAGCTCACTGCCATGTTTTTAAACCTACAGAATTGAACGAATATGAAATGGGCAGGGATAAGCCATTACACAATCACAGGTATGGTCAGCATGCACTAATTTTACTCATTAAGCAAACAGAGTGAAGGGGGCTAAGTTCTTCTAAGAAAAACTCAACATGTTTAAAAGGGAAGAATACTACACTAGTCTCCTTTTTTTCCTGGGTGGAAAAAAGGATATATGGAGTTGGAGAGAGTGGAAAGTAAAATGTCCATTAATAAACACCTATCATTTGTGACTTAACTTCTATCAGAGCAGAACCGGGTGTGGACCATTGGTTAATTTTTTTTTTTTTTTTTGGCAGTGATTTGTTTTAAATATCTAGAGTGAGATTATACAGCTAAGCATAGTGAATAAACATAGGTTTTCAATTCAGCTCACAGCTAAGAGAGTGATAACAGATTTAGCACCTTAGTTTACCCTTCCTCTGCACCCGAATCATCTATCCCTGTGACGTCCAAGCCTGAGGTGAGAAAGCTGTGTTCTGAGATGACTCCTCCGTGATGGCCCCAGGACTGTGGTTTGCTCCAATCTAAGGGCTGGTTTTCCTAGGAGAGAAGGTATTTGATGCTAACTATGAGACTGAAGCCTTGAAGACATTCTATAATAGTGACAGGTGTTAAGGTTCAGGAGTTGGCTGTTTAATAAGTCAGATGCATATTATTCCCTCTTAAGCATTAACTTTTTAAGCAAATAATTATATTTTTTGGCTTGAAATGGTGCTTTCTTCTATATTTGACTTCTCGGTTTTCTTAGTAGATATTACGGTCTCCTCCAGTATTCCTTCAAAACTTTCTCCTATCTGGGAGGTTTTCTTCGAGGCGCCCTTAGAAGCCTCTTCCTCTTCCTCCTCCTCTTTCTTAAGTGCCAGCCCCGTGGATGACACCTTGGAGGTTGCAGCACTGAGGACTCTAGAAGGGAGCAGGTAACTGGGGTTGGGAAGTGGGTTCAGCCCTGCAATGCTTAATCCACTGGTGCTGAACCGAGTCTCTTCACCTTCCAGCAGCTTCCTGTAAATCCAACACAGACAAACTCTCAGGACGTCAACATGACAACTTTTTCTTTCTTTTTTTTTTTTTTTTCAAAAAGAACGTAACTATCCAGGCCCTATCTGTTTGAGAGACACTCCAAAGGATACTGTCATATTTTCATGAGATTAAGCTCAAGAACACTGCGTTCCAAGACTTGAAGAGTTGGAAATCAGCGTGCACATGTATGTGTATGTGTGTACATACACACACACACACACACATACACACACACACACACACGTGCCCACACACGCGCGTACTGCTTCCGTACCTGCTGTTTAAAGCAATGCCAAAAGGAAACCTATGCTACTCACCAGTATGATCTTGAAACAAAACCTACAGCTTTCTTTGTCACACATCCCAGTCATTTTTGGCAATTAAGAGTCTACAAAGCTTTAGGGAGAAGTAATTTTCCTAATTAACACCCTAACGGCAACAGGGATAAAGAGGTGAGAAGTCCACCCAGGAGAGAGGCAGTGCTTGGTTCAGCCATTTTAGATGTGTCTTTTCTTTCCTGTGTGTAAAGCTACGAAGACAGCAGACCCAGCAGAAGGAAAGCCAGTGAGCCATGCCATTTTAGACACCAGCTCTCCTCGGCCTGCCTCACCAGCACCAGGATGAGTGGGCCAGAATCTTGCTTCTTGTCATTCCCATAGTTTCCATCAGACTTGTCCAGAAACTGAAGGCACTGATCCCTGCTGAGGCCCAGCCCTGTGGCTTCCCGAGCTGTCCTGAGCCAGCCCCATGGGCTAGACACCGAGGACCATTCCACATGGCACGTAACGGGATGCCTGGCTTAGGGCAGTCCCACAATGGCACCTGTGGCTGCTGGATTTTTTTTCTTTTCTTTTTTTCCCTTTAGGAATCCAGGGAGACATGGCTAGTGATTTAGCTGAGTGGTAGAATGCTTGTCTAGCAAGCTGGAAGTCCTGGATTCAGTCCTTAGCACCAAAAACTGAAAAAAAAAAACCACAAAAGGAATCCAGGGAGAAACTTTATCTTGTGTGCCTTTCTAAATATAAAAACCCCAATATAAATTAGAGTCTGGTGGATATTTCTTTCAACCTCTATAGGCATGGAAGAAGCTGGGACATATCGGAGGAGAGGGACAGACAGGATAACTTCCCTAGAAGGGCCCAGGGAAACCCCTCCTTCTCACTCCTCATGCTCAGACCTCCAGGGCTGGAGCCTCAACCTGAGTGGCCTCACCCAGGGCAGCTCGCCCTCTGAGGTACCTGTAAGCTGCAATCTCAATGTCAAGGGCCATTTTGACATTGAGCAGGTCCTGGTACTCCCGGAGGTGGCGCGCCATCTCGTTCTTGGTGTTCCTCAGGTCACTCTCCAGCTGCCCAATGCTGTCCTGTAAAGTGACACACCCAAAGTATTTAGGCCCAAGGAGCTGAGATTCTCTGAGATCTCTACCAGATGAGATTTTCAACTCTAACTACAATTCGAGCCACCTAAGGAACTTACACTACCCAGGTCTGCCTCCCAGCCCAGAGTCCCACTCATCTGTGCTCAGCTGTGGGTCCTGGCATTTGCATTCTCTACATCAGGTGCACAGGGAGGTTGGGAACTGTACCGGGAGAGCGGGTGACTCCCCTAAGGAACATGGGGGCTATTACTTTTCAGGCTTCTCACCCCCATCTTGCTCATTCTGGTGCTGAAAAACACTGTGTGTGTCCTTACCCAAGCTGGAAGGCTCAGACCCTGAGAAGACAGCAGGCCTTCCCTGCTACGGCTCTGTTCCTCAGGACAGTTTCTGGAAGTCTGCCCAATCTACAGAAGGCACCTGACAGCTAACAAAGAGGCAGAAACGCTCTCTAAGAGTTTTTTTTAAAAATCCAAATGGATTTTTACTAAAGTTATTATTACTATTATTTTGGCTTTTTTGAGATAGGGTCTCATTATGCAGTTTCGGTTGGCCTTCAACTCACTAAGCTGCTTAGCCTGGTCTTGAATTTGTAGTAACCTGCTTGCCTCTGCCTTCTAAGTGCTGGGCTTACAGGTGTGTGCACCGCTTCTGGTTAGAATTATACTTTTTTCCTTTTCTTTTTTGCAGTGCAATGGATTGAACCCAGGGTGCTCTACTGCGCTACATCCCTGACCCTTTTTAATTTTGAGATAGGGTTTCACTAGGATGCCTAGGCAAGACTTGAAATTGTGATCCTCCTGCTTCAGCCTTCCTTACTGCTAGGATGCACCCATGTATTACTATGTTTGGCTTGAAATTACAACAAAACAAAAACCCAAATTCAGCCAGACATATATGGCTGTAGCATTCATCTGTAATCCTAGTACTCTGGGAGACTGAGGCACAAGGACCAAAAGTGTAAGCCCAGCCAAGGAAATTTACCAAAGCCATGTTTCAAAGTAAAAAACAAACAAACAAACAAACAAAAAAAAAAAACAGAATAAAATTCAAAATGGCTGGAGATATCACTCAGTGTAAAGGCCCTGGGTTCAATTCTCAATACAGGAAGAACTAAATTGATGTCATAGTTTTGCTCCACATGTGCAAACCAAGATACAGAAGCGAAATAAGCTTTAAATTTATGATCCTTGAGCAGCAAGAAAGTATTTATTTATTTATTAGTTATCTATTTTTTGAGACAAAGTTTCATTCTGTATTTCAAGCTGACCTGAAACTATGTATCCCAGACCAGGGTCAAACTTGCAGTCCAGAAATTCTGCCTGAGCCTCCCAGAGTGCTGGGATTACAATGCTGGGCCATTATGCCCAGCTACAAAGTCTTTACAAGTCCAACTCCTCATCACACAAGATTCAACTCAAACACTCTTTAAAGAACTGTTTAAATAGTTCTCCCATTGTGCCCACTTAAGTTCTTCCCCTTCCCTGATCCAGCATAATTCCACCTCCAGCCAGGGCAGCTGCTGGCCCATGCAGAAACTGTGGGCAAATTAGGAAAAGGTACTAACAAATACAGGATGAATTAGGAAAGAAATCAGAAACTAGAAAAGTCTTGCATGTTGCCTCTGTTTCAGCTCTTATTACATGAAATTGTCTTTTTCATTTATTTACTGTTTTCCATCACTTTCTTCTAGGAAAGGGGTTTCAGTCTCTGGGGCTGGCTGCTGCTCTGATGGAGGAGACTGTGCCGTGACATGTGGTTTAGCAGTGAGCCTGTGTGTGTCCGTGAGATGCCAGAATCACAGTCCTTCCTCCCTGTGACAACCAGAAACGTAACTAACATGGTCCTTGAGACGCCCAACCTTAGTACAGTGTACACCCAAGAAGCTCAGCAAGTGACAGCTGAAGGAAGGAAGGAATGCGGGCAGCTACATAAGCCTTTCTTCTTTTCTTAGGAACAGAGAGAGCACGAGCCAAGAGCTCACATTCAGCCACAACTCCGTCCTCACGAACAGCCAACTGACTGAGAGTGATTTCTGTGAAACAGGCATGCAGATGAGGGAACCAGAAATGCCAAGAAAGCGAGTCCTGCAGTGCCCTTGGAGCCCTACTCGAGTGGGGACACAGCAAGTGGAAGGCAGGGCTGATATGTCAGGTGCTGCAAACTTCCAAATCCAGAGAATCTGAAGAAAGAAACCATAACCACCTGCCTTATCTGTATTTTCAAGAGGAGTCCTCCAAAGGAGAATCAGTCAACTCATGGTGCACAGCAAAGAATGACAGGCACCAAGGGACACACAAGTGACATCAGACAGTGACGCAGGTACTTCAAAGTGCACCATGAAATCTATCATGAGGCATAAGGGGGTTTCCTGAGCTTTTTACTTGATGGTTACTGTCTGAGGAGAAACTAATTTACCAGCAAGTCCGCTTAACCTTCATTAGGAGCACAAAAATCAGAATTACTGTGGGATGAGGAAGGGGGTATGGGGTAAAGAGAAACCTGAAGGAGGGGAGATGTTGTCAGAAGGCAGAGAAGCCGGAGAAAAGCTTTATGAAGAGCAGGAGTCTGCCATGTCCTCTGGGTTGCACTGTTTTGCCCTGTCACTAATGTCCAGTGTTAGTTTTTTATGTTTTAATTTCTTCTTCTATTTCTGCACATGGAAAATTATAATATTTATGCTTTTCCAAGGTGTTCTGAGGCTCTCAAATTAGTGTTCCAGTTTGATGAACCTCACATTAGTATATGATGAAAGTCATTAGAATAGTCTGACATGTAAAAGTACTCAATAAATGTGAGCGATTGTTTTTATCATTGTTAATAACAAACCATGTGACTCTACTCTTGATAATATGGACAAATTACTCTTAAGCTTCCGACAGCTCGTTAGGTAAATAAGAAATTAATATATTACACAATATTAATGTGCAATAAAACTTCAATACTAGATTAGCTGCATATTTCTCAAAGCATCAGGTTTTTTAAAAAAATAACAATTTTGATTTCAACTCTTTTCTAAAGTAGCTTAAAATGTCCCTATGATTAATATCACCATTTTGAGGTTTTAAAAATGTACCAATAAGCTTAATTATATATATATAAAAGACATTAATAATGTAATCTAGCTCAGCAATTACGGGTCATGAAAGTGATCGATTATTTCTCTACAATTCTGTAATGTCCTTTATCTTTTGGGACTGTCCCGCTGGTTATGTCCACCCTAAATGGCCCTGAAGGTCAGTGTCTGAATTCGCATTGCTGTGTGCGGGATCCCTTTGTCCTGAGAGGTGGCCTGTTTGCTGCTACTCATTCTGCACAAAGCCCGATGGATTGCAGTGGTTGCCTCTCCTTGTCGATCTGCAGGCTTGGAATCCAACTAAACGGCCTCAGCTATAAAAACATGTTCAGGCTGGGCGCAATCCTAACACACACCTTGGCAGCTCAACATTTTGCTTCACAGCTGTGTTTCCTGAGAGAGGTTGCCCGGAAGCTGAGTTCCAGTTGGATGATTTCTTTGAACTTCTACGCTGGACGTTTTGCACGTCTATTTCATGGATCTGAGCAGGAAGGGGGCAAAGGCGGCACGGCACGAAGGAGCTGCCTGCAAGCCACCCGCGGCGCGCCACGCCCAGGCCCTTTGTTGGCGCTCTCCTCTGCCCCACACCAGGCTGCCCCGCATTGCCCTTCAAAAGCCCGGCCAATGATGGCCTCCGGCTGGGCCGCAGCCGCCCCGCCCTAGTGGCACTGCTGCTGCTGCTGCTGCTGCTGGGGGTGCTGCAGCCGCCCTGCGCCACTGGGGGCTCTCCTGGAGCCCTGCGGACAGTGCAGAGCTGGGCAGAACATAAAGAATCAGCATCTGTGAGAAGGCAGAGCAGACTGCCAGCGCATGCTATGGACGCCCCCACTAGTGGGGGCCCTCTGCTGGGGAGCAGTCTGGGTGCCTCAGGGTATGACTGTAAGAGGTGGCCCAGAATTGCTCATGTGCATAACGGGTGGAGGGGCAGGGAAGATTTTTCTACACGACCCATCCAGGCACCAGCACTGTTCTCTTATTCTCCTATCTTTACTTTATCCGCATCTTTTTCTTTTTGTCTTCTACCACACTCTGATTTACTTTTTATTTATTTATTTTTTGAGGCAGGGTCTCATTATGTAGCCCAGGCTGGCCTCGGACTCATAGCAATCCTTCTGCCTCAGCCTCCTGAGTGCTGGGATTACAGGATGTGTGCCATCATGCCCAGCTAAAATCTTGTATGTGTCTCCCTGTAAACTCCCTTACTGGAAAATGTGATTTAGGGCAGTGTGTTCCAAAATCATGGCCAGGACTGACAAGATATAGCACTTTTACTGAAAATGCATATTCCTGGGTCCCACCTGAGAACCACTGAATCCATATCCTTGGAGGTGTGCTCAAGGATTTTTTAAAAACCTATTTGACCTTGGTGTGTCACTGGGTTTAGGAACCACTGTTATTTCTGTAAAGGAACTATTTATCATGGTGGCCCAGATGACAATAACAGAGTGAAATAGAGAAAGGCAAACAAAAAACAGGTATAAGAGCTTGACAAAGAAAAAAAAATGACCGAATGTAATGTTTTTCCCCTTGAGTTCTTATTTCAAAACAGATCTATCGAGTATAGATTTATATGCAGCCACTGCCACCTCCAACCTCCCAAGAGCCAGGCCTTCCTGCTATTTAATTAGGCTGTACTCCAATCTCATCTTGGAGAGAAGAGGGCAGGCTTGGCTCATTCCCCTAAGGAGCATTAAGCAGCTGGGATCTTGATCGTTCGGCAAGGCCTTTCAAGGAAAGCTCTGGCCTTCTTAGACTACAGTAAAGGTTTGCGTCACCAAGAAGCCTCCAAGAGGGTGTTGGCCCAGCCCCTCCTAATCTTTCCTGTTGCCTGATTCTGGTTCTCTTACATACTACTGTGTGTTCACTATGTCACCTTGAATCATTCTGTATGCTTCTGCAAGTGTAATACCCTTCTTCTCCTCAGGTAGGCTATCAGCTCTCTGTGGCAGGGAAGACTTGAGTTTCATGAGGCCTTCCCATGTCTCTGAGAGGGTTGCCACGCCTGCAGAGGAAAGGGGCCTGCCACTGATCTCTGAAGCGGAAGGAAGGGACCAGCTTCCCATTACTGCAGTACAAGGAGGGGCGGGGGTCAAAGGCCAAGGAAACAATGGCTCCCCCTCACTGTGGACAGGGAGGATGTTCACCTTGGCCAGCACTGGGATTGTTAGGACAGCCCGGGGCTTTGGGCATTCAGGGTGTTCAGGTCAAACTGTGAGCCCCACCCTGCCTTTGGTCCCAAGGTGTGGGAAGCAGCTGTCTGTTGTCTGAGCTCTTGGTGCCCACTGAGGCTCTGAAGGCCAAAGCCGATGGGGACAGCACTGCAGAGCTACGGATGCCAGGGTCCCGCTGGTTTTGTTTCCAGAAGACCTTGTCCGGATGAGACTTCTATTGTCTAACACTGAAAGCCTTTTATAGCCAAGGAAGCCAGAAAACATCATCACTACCTCTTAGAGTGCAGGGACTGAGGCAAGTGGAGGATGCAGCAAAGCCCAATTCAGCTCAAAGTCCTGGGCGATTTACCATTTTTTTTGTAGAAATACTGGGCCCTTCCTTCCTCCAGAAGACCACCCAGCTCTATCTTTGGGGCTTCTGGGAGAAAACATGAAGTGTCCTTTGATGGGGGGTGACAATCATGTCACCCAGAAGCCAAGCTACATAATGAAAAATTCAAGTTACAGCTTTGGAAGCAAAACATTTTTTGGATACTGTAATGCCAGGCTTTCATCCTTTGTCACAGGGAGTTATGTGTATATCATTCCTTAGCTCCTGACTAAAGAGAACCTATCAGATTCCACAATTCTTCTTGGTAATTAATGCTCCCAACGCTATTAATTTTATCAAATGTAAACTTAAATCCAGCCTAGAATAAATTACTTAAGTTTCTCTGTTACTGGCATTTTACCCCAAGGATCTTTTACTATACCTTGAAAATGAACCACATTGTTTTGGTTCTTTTCTGCATTCTTCCTTCATTCATCTTGTCTCCTGTTTCTGGGCCCTTTGTAGTTAGAAACCCAGAATGTTCGGTGTAGTAAAACTGAAGATACAGAAGCCTTTGTTGGGAGGAAAGAGCCAATCAATACCTTCACAGGCACTTACAGGGCAGGGCAAGATGGAAAAAACATAAGTCACCTATAACAATGAACCTTCTCCAAGACTTGCCACGTGCTAAAGTGTAATGAGAATTTCCACCCTTAATGTGGTAGACTTCCCCTGCCCCAGCTACTAAGCAGATTAAGTGGTTTTTGTTAGATGCTAAGCCATCTATGAAAGTGAAAATTGATGCTGCCCACAAAGTGACCTTTGATTGCAGGTAGCCAAAACTGATGTGTTTCAAAAGCAAAAAAAAAAAAAAAAAAAAAAAAAAAAAAAAAAAAAAAGTCAAAGCAGTTAATTGGATAGAGATTCAGAACTAGGGCAGGAGACAGGGGAGATACAGTTCTGAGATGGGAGGAACTCGAGATCAGCACCGTGGACAGCGAATCGGCGGGTCTACTTCACTAACCCGTGTATCAAGAGGTTTTTTTTTGTTTTGTTTTTTTGTCTTTTTCCTTTTTATCGGTACCGGGAATCGAACTCACGACTGCCTGCTTACAAGGCAGGCGCTTATGCCGCTGAGCTAAGAGTTCTTTAGGAAGAATTGTCAATAAAAGGAGGGCGCGCGCGTGTGTGTGCGTGTGTGGACCCGTGTTGGGGAAGGAGGGTAAGGCAGGACAGTTGTTACTAGTTAGGCTCCACCCAGCTCCTGAGTGCTCCATCTCCACTCTTTTGAGGGCAAAAATTAAAAAAATGGTTAGAACTCTTCCTCGCTCCTGACCCTCTCAGGCAGACCCACTCCTAAGTATCAGAAACCCTTCCAAAACCAGTCCCAGCAGATGGCTGAGGCAGGGGTCCGGACTGCGGAGGCTGTGCCCTGCCTGCGAGCGCCTGCGTTGGGTGGAGGCTGAGCTCCAGGCCGCCAGGGTTGCTGATGGAGAGGATTCATTAGATTTTTCAGAGTCCGAAAAAACTCTGATGTTACTTTGTTAGAACTCAAACGAGAACATAACTGAGGGCGGGGAAGGAAAGCTTTGTTCGCAATGCAAACCCCCCGGACTTTTGCCTGCCAACGCCCGAGTCAAGGCCCTTCTCGCCCCTCCCCCGCCTCCCAGAGGCCCAATGCTCACGGAGGACAGGCTCTTACCTGGTAGCCGGCCACCTCGGCGCTATGCCGCTCCTCCAGCTCCAGGATCTGCCTCTCCAGGGACTCATTGGCCCCGCGCAAGCCCTCAATCTCGATGGTGCGCGCCTGGAGCTGACGCCGGTATTCGTGGATTTCCTCGCGGCTGGCACGGATGGCTTCGGTGCTGCGCGCCGCCTGCTCGTTCAGATTAGCGAACTTGGACTTGTACCACTCCTCGGCAGACTGCAGGTTCTTGGCGGCTAGGGACTCGTACTGCGCGCGGATCTCCCTCAGTGCCGAGCTCAGGTCTGGCTTGGCCACCGTCACGTCCACCTCGGCCGCGGCCTGCGACGAAGCCTGCAGGGTAGCTAGCAGCTCCGCCACCTCCTCGTCGTGCACCTGGCGCACGAAGGCCAGCTCGTCCAACAGCGACTCCACCTTCTTCTCCAGGTCCAGACGGGCCAGCGTGGCGCCGTCCACGTCGCGCTGCTGCGCCTTCAGGGCGCGCTCGGCCCCCTCGCGCCCGCGGCTCTCCTCCTCGCAACGAGCCCGCAGCCGCTGCACCTCCTCTGCCAGGCCATCGCGCTCCAGCAGGGCCTGCGCGCGCGCCGAGCTCGCCTCCTCCAGTTGCGCGCGCAGGTCGCGGAGCTCGCGCTGGAAGAGCTCGCCCACGCGCGACGGCTCGGCGTGGCGCTGCCGCAGCGCGGCCAACTCGGCCTCTAGCGCGCGGTTCTGCGTCTCCAGCTGGTGCACCTTTTCGATGAACACTGCGAAGCGGTCGTTGAGGCCCTGCAGCTGCTCCTTCTCGTTGGTGCGGATGATCTTGTACTCGTTGGTGCGCGCAGCTGCCTGACTCAGGTCCAGCCCGTCGGACGCCGGCGCGCGGCTCCGGTACGCCAGGCTCAGGCCGAGCGAGGACCCCGGGGCACAGGCGGCCGTGGAGGCCGCGGAGCAGCGGGACAACGAGTGAGACCGAAAGCTGCCCGCGCCGCCGGCCCCGGAGAGGCGCCCGGAGAGGCGCGCGCCATCCCCGAACACCTTGCGGTAGGAGGAGGAGCACAGATAGTGCTCGGAACCGAAGCTCATGGTGCCGGGCCCGGGCCGAAGCCTCAGAAGACGTGAGAGATGCGGCGGGCTGCGCGCGCGGGGCGGTGCGTGCGGGGCTTTAAGGCGCGGGCGGGGCCGGGGCGGCGCTTGGGGGCGGAGCTCCCGCTCCGGGTCTGGCCTGGGGGGAAGGGGGTGCGGGACTCCGGGGGAGGCGCAAGGCCTCCGGCGCGGGGACAGCGACGAAGCCCCTGGACTGGAGGGTGCTCACGCGTCCTGGGCTTCCCAGCCCCAGGCCGCGCAGCTCTGTCGGGTCTCCCGAGCTGCCCTCCGCGCCCCCAGCCCACTGAGGGAGGAGGCTCTTTGAGAAAAGCTTCCTCCCCATGCCCATCCCCATCCCTGAGTCCATGGAGGAGCCCGAGTCTCGCAGCGAGAAGAAGGAACCCTTGGGGCGAGGCCTTGTCCCCTTCTCAGGCATCTGGGCTAGGGGGCGTCTCTGCAGAGCCCCGAGGCTCCTGGGGGCAGGGCGGGAGGGAGTAGGGTGGGAGAGTCTGCGTGCAGGGGAGAAGGGAGAGCTGTAAAGAGCCTGAGAAGAGCCGAGGCGCAGACCCGGGTCAGGCCTGGCGGGGGGTGGGGGTGGGGGAAGCGCTGAAGTCGCTGGGATGCGTTTGCAGGGTGGTGACGCAGACTGACTTACAGACTGGTGCGAGGGAGGCTTTTGTTTTTAAAACGTTTGGGTTTAAACAGCTCAAAACCGGCATTTTCAAACTAGAGGCATTGTCTAGAAAGAAATTGGATTGATGTTGATGGTTAGCATCGCAGACGTGTCTGTCTTTTGGGTAGTGTTTGGGTGACCGCAGTGGACCGCAGTGGACGCGAGGTGCCCTTGCTGTCCTCACAGGATATTCTGTCCCCCGTAGTCCCAGCCACTGGACACGGAGTCACACTCACCCTCTTCCTGCTGCCTGCTGCCTGCTGCCTGGTCTACAGGCATCTGTGTCTGGTCCGTGTAAATTAGATGAACCCTCATAGGCTTTGGAAACCCGGTTTTTGTAGAGATCTCTCTGGACAAACAGATTAAACTCCCGAGTGAGGAAGAGTGCTAGGGACTGACTCGGCCTCCTTTGCCCACACGGTGGGGCTATCGGGAAGAATGGGACTTTAAAAGACAGTGACTGTCACCTGTGTTCCTCGGGCATGCCTTGGGAGAGGCAGTGAAAAGGCCTTTTCAAGTATATTCAAGAATGCCAGACTTCAGTGGACCTTTTAGGGTGCTGGATGATCTCGTAGTTGTAGGATAAGTTTGTATTTCACTTAGTGGGCAATCAAGGAAGCGTGGACCACAAAAGAAGGGGAAAAAGGAATCTTAAGGGACTTTGGAACCTATCTCACTTATTTCACTACTAGAGATTGATCCTAGGCCTTCACATCCCTGTTTATTTTGAAAGTATCTCACTAAGTTGTTAAATTGCCCAGACTGGGCTTGAGTTTGTAATTCTCCTGCCTCAGCCTCCCAGCGTGCTGCAACTGCAAGCTGTGTCACCATACCCAGCCTGTCACTTGGCCTTGTGGAGCCTGTCACTTGGTCTTGTGCCTGATACTGTGGAGGATTAGAGCCTACCCCTCTGTCTCTCTTTGCTCACCAAGACTTGAACCAGAAAGACCAAGTTCTGAGATCTCTGGGCTCACAAAGATCCGGACCCATGAAGGATGGAAGAATGCTAACCCTGCCAGATAATTCCTGTTCATCAGCCCTGGCACCAGCACTTGTGCATAGTTTTACTTCCTTCTGGCTACTTTTTGAAGTGCCCCCCCCACCCATCTTACAAATAGGACACTGAGGCTCAGGGGCAGCACTCTGCCCAAGGCCACTAGCAAGCAAAGACATACTCTTTCCTCACTACAAGATTCTTCTTGGTGCAGTGAGACTTTGGAAGTCGTGTTACTCTCTCTACAGCCAGGATACGGCTAGCTGAGTGTAGCCTGCCAGTTTGTAACTGAAGGAATGCTTGCCTCAGTCAGAGGTGGTGGGTTTGCACTGTGGCTCTGTCCCTACTGAGCACAGTATGTAGGGACAGCACCATGGACCTGCGAGGGCCAGCAACGGTTGAGCTGATGATGTGAGGTGCTCTGAAGTCTGGATCTGGGTAGAGAGCTATCCTCACCTTTGTCTTTCAAGTCAAATGATGCTGTTTCACAGCCATGAGGAACCAGGGAGGAGCTGGATTTGGCAGCTGACCAACACCTTCCCCAGAATTTCCTCCTTTGCCTTATTTCAACTACTGAAACCCTTAAACGGCCCACCAAGCTTTCTCCACAGTTCCAGGCTGCCAGAGGGGAGAGAATGCAGCTGGCCTCCATGGTCTGCGTGTGAGTGTGGCCTAGCGAGAAGATGCAGTTTGTCAGGGGCTCTTTCTTCTGATCACATCAGCTGGGTCACTCTGGACTGTAGAAAGTATCACAGTGTTCTGGCTGAAATCCCACTTTTCTTTCCTTTTTTAATCTTCCATAGAAGCAGCACCTCAAAGACAATATCAAAGGTGCAGTGGAAGTGAAGCAGAAGGGATTAAATAATGGGTCCAAGTGGCAGTGGCCTGGGAAGTCCAGAGTGGGCCGTGTTCTTAACAGCTTACCTGCGCTCTCCCCACGGGACCCTCACTTCCCTTTCTTGGCACCCCTGCCCCAAGGGCCTGGTGTTTGGCTTTGGCAGCTGAAGCACAGAGCTGTCCTAGAAGGAGGCTCTTGGATGAGGCTCAGCTGTTGCTCCTGACTGTGGGTCAGGTTTCCTGGGGAAGTGCCCAGCCTGGCCTTCTCCTCCTCCTTCCGTGTCAGGCCCAGCCCACAGCCACACTGTTGGCCAGGCCCAATATTCTCTCACTCGGCATCCTCAGGGCTCCGCAATCTTTGGCAGTGTGGACTGCACTTCCAGGTTTCCAGGACTCAGCTCTTGGCTCCTGTGCTTCTTTTCCAAGTGCTCATTTTGAGCTACTAGGTCTGCCAAAGGTGGGAAGACTTGGTGAAGTTCTTTCCCTGAAGGATCTCACTCAGCACCATGATTATTCCAAGCCATGTGACCTTGGACACGTTACTATTAGTTCCTGAACTTCATTTGTTCAACTAAATATTGCAATAAAACTGGCCACTTGAGTAGTTTCCAAACCTAGTCGATTATTAGGATTGCCTGAAAAGCTACATTCAGATTCTTAGGCCTTCCCCCAAACCCACTCTGAGATCTCCGATTAGAGATCACTGACCTACCTCTCCTGAGGTTACATGAGATTTAAATAAGCTATCAAGGGGTATCAAAACCTGCTGTGTGTGTAGTCAGTACATGGAACTACCTCTTGGTATCAACTCATGAATGCTTGCTCATTGTACTGCATACAGTGAACATGTCCAGTGACCCATTGTGCTAGCTACTTGGGAGGCTGAGGCAAGAGAATCTGTTAAGCCCAGGCATTCAGACCAGATGGGGCAACAATGGTGAGTCAGTGTCCCTCTCCTCTTCCGTTCCTCCTTACCTCCCTCATCGCCATCTCTCTCTCAGTCTTTCTCTTTTTCTCTCTTTTTACATATGTGTTTGTGTGTGTACTGAGGATCGAACCCAGGCCTTTTTTAACTTTGAGACTGGGTCTCCCTAAATTGTTAGTTGCCCTAGCTGGGCTTGAACTTAAAATCCTCCCACATCAGCCTCCTGGACTCCTGGGATTATAGACATGAGCCATCATGTTCAGCTGAAGACCCTATCTCTAAAAAAGTAAATAAATAAAAGTGAGCTGCGGATATGGCTCAGTGGCACAGCACCTGCCTGGCAATTGCAAGGTCCTGAGTTTGATTCCCAGTACCACTAAATAAATAAAGTGAACTTGTGTTTGCCCTCTAAATAACACCCCTTATTGGATTTGACCTTTAAATCTCACCTCTATTCCTCTGCTTATGCAACTCTCATTCTGACCTGGAATTTCCTCCTCTGTCCTATTTTGGTTACTGAAATCCTTAAGCCCCAAAAGCTGACTCCATCATGAAGCTTAACCTGAAGTCTCCAAAGTAAAGTGTTCGATCTCACCCAGGAACTCTCCTGCGCCTCCCCACAGCTTTTGCAGACCTTACTCCTAATGATGCTCGTCTTCTGCTGTAACTGTGCACTTGCCTAGGTTGGACATGAACTGGGAGGTGCGTAAACCCGCCTGGCCTTCCACATGTGCGTGCCTCTCTCAGCGTGTATCCCAGCATAACTTGTGAGTTAAAAGAGGAAAATGCTTTGCTGTACAACCACTGAGTGAAGTCTTTAGCCTGACACCAAGAGTGAGAACCATAAAGGGAAAAAAATCAATAAATTCGACTTCTTCAAAATTGAAAGCTTGAAACTGGCTGTGGTGGGACACACCTCCAACCCCACACTGAAGCAGGAGGACCCTGCATTCCACTACAGACCAGGCTGCAAAGTGAGATCGAGGACAGCCTGAGCTGCACAGTGGAACCGTGTCTCAAAAACATGAAAAACAAAACAAAACAAAGGACTCAGAGCAGCTGGATCTTTCACCTATTGCTTGTGTGTGTGTGTAGAAGAGTACAGCTATTCTGAAAAAACACTGAGGCAGTTTCTCACAAAATTAATATATATTGGTATGACCCAGAAATCTCACTCTTAATATTTAGCAGAGAAAATTGAACCTATGTCTACATAATAACCAATCCATGAGTGTTTACAGGAGTTTTCTTTATTAGAAAGTAACACAGGGATCAGCCTGACTGTCCTTCAACGACAGAGGAACAGGCTGATATACATATGTACCATGGAATATTATTCAGCATTGAAAAGAATAAACTATCATTAAACATGAAACTTAGGTAAATCACAAGCACATTTTCCTGAATGAAAAAGGCGGATCACAACATATTACATATTGTGTGATTCTGTTTATATAACACCGTTGAATCGTCAAAACTATAGTGCAGAGAACAGATCAGTGATTGACAGGACTTAAGAGCTGGAAGAGGATGTGGCTATAAAGAGGGAATTTGTGTTTTGGTGCTGGAGTGGTTCTGGTACTCATATTAATATATATGGTAAGTATCTGTAGAATGAGACAGAAGGAGAGAGGGG